CTCTCGGAACTTCCTATACCAAGAAAAAATTTATGACACCCCTGTGCATAAAACTGACTTGGGAAGTTCAGTCCGAAGTAACAAAAAGACAATGTTACCTCATTTTGAAGGCATGGGAGTAGCCGTGCCTGAGAACTCATGTATCTCTCACAGTTTTAGTTTCTCTTGCACACTTAAAAATGGACATCCAAATTCTAAGCGTAATACTTTTGTTAATTGCGATTTTCTAAAGCCTGACTGAAGCAGGCACGAGTAGATTTTGTACTTAAAATTAGAATTGCTATTAAATATGAAGTTATTTCTTGAGTTAATTGGCTAAAATTATGGGAGCTATTATAAAAAGAACCGAAAAAGAAGACTTCTTTTACAGCTAACCCTAGTTATTCGACTGAGATTCTTGCATTTATATCATTCATGTACCAATTTATATATTTTTATTATATTATAGCAATGAGGCCAATTCTTAATCAAATCATATCATCATATGTAAAAACTCTATCATTTTCAAATATCCGTGTCTTATTCAAAAAAAATTTGGAACCCACAGTTTGTATAAGCAAGTGAAGTAAATAAACGGGTTCTTCTTGGTTTACAACGAACTTCGTAACACTTTTTGGCATTTCTTCAGAATACTCAAAGAACTGGCAACAATTTTAGGAAATCAGATAAAGAAACGAAAGTATAAGAGTGACAACAAAGTGCACAACAAATAAAAAAGACAGAGCGTAGTAGAACGATTTTTAATTTAAATCAAACTAAAAATGTTTTTTAAAATGATTAGAAAGTTATTTTCCAAACTTTTTTGTTAATATGTTTTTTTTTAATATATTTCCAATAATGCTAGCTAAGAAACTGATTAAATACTGTACGTGACGAACATACATTTTACTTCTGAAAATATTCGAATGAAGTATTGAAAATATCAAAGATATTTAAAATATCAACTACAAAGAACCTAAAATCCGAGTTAGAAAAGGATATATGAGTAATATTTACTATTTTAAGTGTACATTTGTTTAAAATTCTTATAAGAAAGACTTTATATACTATGTATGTATATAAATTTGGACTAATTCTAGTGGAGCTGCAAGAGAGTCGTGAACTCTATCGTTAATTACGATGATTTTAGTTTCCAGTGACTATCCATGGCTTGAGGCGATTTCCAATCAATTTTTTTTATTGAGTTAGCGCAAATCAGTATTAAGCAGCCAAATATTTGTATGCCCAGGCGAACTTGGAGAAGCTTGACAAAATCAAAAAGCACCATATTAAAAATATGAACAATCTTTTAGGCCGTAAACATAGGATCAAATTTCGTTTATTAACAGAAATGAGGGCTAATGGGTTAATGAAGTTGAATGAGATGACCTCATTTTGTAAAAATATAAAAACAACAATTGGAAAAGCTAGAGTCGGGTGCCCCGACGTTGAAATACTCTGTACCTATGTCTATGCGTGTCTGTGTGTGAGCATGTGCGCAGTATAGAGTTGCGGTCAGAGCTAGGGCAGAGATTATATTTATGGCATTCGGGATTCTTTATTAATAAATTCATTTTAGAATTCTGTGTATTCACAAAAGGCATTTTGGAGTAAAGTTTGGTAGCTCTTATAGTTTCCGATATATACTTGTATGTGATTATACGAACAGCATTACGGAAGATAGGGGAGTGGGAGAAATAAAACAAACTTGTATTGCGTACACACATAAGGCAAATGGGTACAAAATCTGGTATATCTGGGGCTAGATTGACTCGTCTTATCATGCTAATCAGGAACATATATACGTTTAGAAGCCTGCCACGCCTCCTTCTGCCTGTTAAATTTTTCACTTTCCACAAACCTTTTCGTACAAAAACAGCCTCTCATTTTCATTTTATTGGTAGGTGTTTGGTTGGTGTTTGGAAAACAGCATAATTTTTGCAAATTTATTTATTTTCTTATTCAATGGATTATCCCTAAATGCAGCGATATTTAGATATATTTGTAAGCTAAGCTGACCCCAGCGATAGGAAAGAGCAATTCATCCGATACAAATTTGTTTATCCGCATTAGTAGTAGGCTTTGAGCTAAAAATTAGTTTTCAAATTTGGAGGTCTACTACATATGAGAAGAGGCTTAAGTTTGGAATTGGAAATCAACAAAGTGGTTCATATATACAGTTAGACGTTCGATAATTTGTAGCTGGGGTTGCCTGAGGTGTACAGTCGTCGGGCCGGTGTCGGAATGTAATGTCCCATGTGGTTAGGGTTCGAGACACGCTACAAGCAAGGAAAAACATAAAGAAACTTCACAAAAACACACATTCCCCTTAAATTTAAGCATTACATAAAAATACTAATATACATGTGAATACACCCAGAGTACACCAGCAATTCAGTAAAATCATACATGGGGTTCTGGCTACGGGTTCGGCGGCTGTACGGCGCCCACAGCATTTTCCATTCAAAAATAATTATTTTGTAATTTCCTAAAATATAGGTTGACAAATTCTCCACAGAAACTGTGACTTCAACTATCGACCAGCACCTTAAGTGTAGTGGTTGAGGATACACTTTGAGTGGAGGATATATGTATAGAACTTTTGTGGTTCAGTGTTCAGCGAGGTATTGAGAAGCTAATGGGAAAGTCAAGATGTCGCGGAGTCGACTCATTCATCTTTCAAAGTGATTCATAATTTCTATGGCTTCGCAGCAAACTGAAATTACTGTGCAAGCCTGCGCTTAGGGTCAGGGTGACAAATGGCTCGGGAAACGGCTGGGAATTTCGAAAGTCTGGCATATTACTTCCATAAAAGTAATGTGTTTATCTTGATTTTCATTCAAGTCGGTGATAATTTATGTACTACTTGAGTATACAAGTATGATGGGCTTTTAAATTATGATATGCAATCAGGCCTATGGGGTCTACTTCAGCCCCCGCCCTTCTCCACACATCTCACCGCAGCTGTAACTTCGGTTGTTGGCCTTGTGGAAAATTGGCCGCCCAGCTTGGGGCGCAGTCATTGGCCGCCGTAAACATAAACGATTTTTGTTGCAGCCAAATTGTCAATTACTGCTAGCAAATTGCTCAAAATCGACAACAGCAGCAACCATTAGGTATTTGACTAAATTAAAACGTGTATTTGTTGTTATTATTGTTGTTGTTGTTGTCGTTGTGATGGTTGGCTGCTGCTGCTTGACATTGAAGGAATTTATGCACTTTAATTGAAATCACTTCAAAGCAATTTTCGTCATAGTGTCAAGCAGTGAGTTGGCGGTGTTGTTGTTGCTATTTGTTTTTAGTTGGCAGTTTTGTTAATTTAAACTTTAAACTATATAAACACACACACACGCACACACACAGACACCATACACACTGATGCATACAACCATCTGAGACTTTGGTTAGCTTTTGTGTCTACAATTCGTGTCAATGTCAGCATGATTTTTCTTGTTATATTTATTTATTTTTTTCAGATTGTTCATATAGGCACAAACGTATGGCTGAGAAGATTAAAGAAGAAGTAGAAGGGAAAACGGTAGCCGTGGAAACGTGTTTCACAATCCATACATAATAGCAGCAAAAAAACAAAAACCAACAACAGCTGCAGCATGTTCCGAAGTCGCCGATGACAAGCAATGCAGGCAAACGAAAGACTTAGGCGACAAACTTGCAGGCCATCAGAAACACTATCAGAAACGAAAAACAAAACATAAAACGGATCATTATGTTTGAGCGCGACCGGCATTTGAATACCCTGACCAAATCAAAACTAAATTCAAAATAATTTGAAACATTTATTAAATAGCTAATAATTATTATAAATTGATAAATAATTGTTAATTTCACTCTTATTTTTAAAAGTAAATTTACTGAAATAAATGACTAGATTGTGATTGCACAATCACAAGCAAATAATAAAATTTAAAAAAAATAATAATAATATTAAATTCAAAATGTAAATTGAAAATATTGTGCTGAGCTAAGATTCTCTATAAAACCTTTAAAACATAAAGCTTTTTCAACTAAAATATACAAGATTTATATAAATTTTAGTATAAATTATTTTAAAGTAAATTTATTTTTTTTCATTATCAAAGTTAACGTTTAGATTTGAACAATAAATGAGCAACCAAAGCAAATAAAATTTAACATAGCTTTCGGTTAACCTGGCGAGAAAAACTCACCTATTCTGTTCAATTTTCCGAAAGATAGACTATTTCATGCTAATCAAGAATATTTTGATCTTTTGAGAACTGCCACGGCTTCCAATTGGTGTTACATATGTACTCATAGAAAGCTTTTTTCCCTTTACATAATGCAGGGTATTCGAATCATCCGGCACGGCAAATAAAATGCAACTCATGCTGTCTCACAATTTCCCTTCACATATGGTTGGCCAAAATGCTTTTGACCTTTAAACAAAAGCTTGCAGCCATTTGAATTAGTTTCGTTTTCGGATTGATTGGCAAGGTTAAAAAATAAAAATCAAGTGCAGTTCAGTGGGTGGCAAAGTAATGGGGAGGGGGCGGTGTGTGGATGACACTAAAATGAGACGTCGGCTGCTGTGTAGTCGTCGTTGTTGCTGGTATTGCTATTGTTATTGTTATTGCTGTTGCTGTTGTCGCTTCTGTCGGGCCACTCAGTTTCACTCCAAAGCGCGTGAAAGTTGCGCTTTACAACAACGCCAATAACAACAACAACAACAACAGCAGCAGCAGCAGCAACGATATGATGACAACGGCGATAACAACAAAAAGGTACAAAAGGCGAAGCCAAGCAATTAATGCATACACAACACAACAAACAAACAAACAAAAAACAGCAACAACTACAAGTATTTGTAAAACGGGAAAAAAGCACAGCACAAAAACAAAACTTAAAAAAAAGATTTGTAGTACGCACTTTTAGTTTATTCATTTCATTTCATTTCATTTATTTTTTGCTTGCCCCAAACTTGCGCAAACTCCAGCGACTTTTATTTTGTGCAACACAACTGCAAGCACACAACATACACTTACATATACTGAGTATGTACATACATGCATGTATGTGTGTGTGTTTGGATGACACTCCAAAATATATTTGGGGACAGCAATCGAATCAATTGCCTGGCTGATAGTCGGGACTGACTTCTTCCCTTTGCATGCGAATTGCAGTCACAAAATAGTCACAAAATCACCAAAAACAAAATAAAATCGCGCGAAATGCCGCTCGCGTAACCGCTAACGTTTGTGGCTGAAGATCAACTAAAGCGGCAGTATCCACTCGACGCTCCAAGCAGCCAACCTAGCCAACCAGCTCGCCAACGCTGCTGGGCGGCCGCCCAAGCAATTGGGAAATGAGCGAACAGCGAGCGCGCTCTGGCCAACATTTGCACAGTGGAGCGCATTCACAAGCCAAGTGGACAAATTTTCCAGCGAATGCTTCCCCGCCCCAATAACGTTTAATATATCAACTAATGTTATTTTATCCTATTCTATTATTCTTTTAATACTTTACTTTACATTAAATTAGATTGTTGTGCAAAGATCTCTCCAATTAGTCACTAAGAGCCGGTTTCTCAACTGGCGACCAGCTTGGCGAAATGTTGGTTCCCCAGTGTCCAGTTTAATTGAGCAGCCAAACGACACCAAAGGCTTTTTCGATAGCCGCTTTAAATCGTTTTTGTGCAACCTATATTTGTTTTCTTCACAGTGGTGCCACCGAATTGGGATATATGATCACAATATTGCGCTGTGTTGGCCAATAATACCATGTAAGTGGCAGGCAGTAAAAGGGGAATAAGCCAATAAAAGGGGAAGCCAGAGTAGCAGTTACCTATCATCCTGTAATGTCTTCTTACAACGCAAAATTTGGACACCCAACACTGCATTCTATATAATCGAATCTGCAGTGCTCTTGGATGTTCTTTCTAAGATTTTCAAGCAGCAACTTCGTAGTTATAAGTAGTTTCTGACTGGCTTTCTAATCAATTTAAAAATTGGGCGATGAAGAAGGTCCCTTAGGAGTATTTTAAGTACGATGTCCAACTTAACAATTTCTACAATTGCAAAAGTTTATTAAACAGAGCAGGTCCTGTATCGTGGAACATTGTAATGTCACATATACTTGTACTATTTGTACCTTAGATGTCAGTTAATCGCAAATTTGTATTTAATAAGTTATATAATGCTTAATAAGTTTATATTTTGGCCAATTGACCTTAAAGCGTTTAAAACTTTTGATTAGAGATATTTAGAAACCTTTGCATATATGGGAAGAACACATTATCTCCTTACTTACAAAATATTATTTCCTTTAACAAGGACATGATGGAATTAAAACTTTACCATCACACTTTGTTCTCATAAAATAATACACTCTATTTAAAGCCAGCTACGACTCTTCTGACATGACAACGGAATATATTTCAAATCTATTGTTGAATTATTCTAAAAACATAATTTGAAAACTTTAAAAGCAGTTAATTGGCACGAACATAATTAATAAGTATAACGTAAACGCAATACATGTGCGTTGAATTTTAAACAAGCTTTCATTTTTAAATGTATAAACTTTTCTATATCATAGCTTTTTTCAACCCTTTCTCGATTTTGTGGAATTGAAAATCGAAACATAAAACTGTCCATTTTCTTTTCCATCAATATAAAAATGCAATATACTTCATACTTTATTCAAAAATGAAAATGGGCTGCATTTTAAATAATAATTGTTGTAAACATTTTTTTTTAAAGCAAGATAATACATGGCTTATTAAGTCAACCCTACTCGTATGGTAAATAATAATTATTCGACCTGCCAAACGGCTGAGCACAACAACATTTTAAAATGTTTTGTAGGCAGACTTGTGAAACTGCTTTTCTACTCGTAGTGATCGTACAAAGTAAAATATAAGGACAAATAAAAATACGTAGCTCGCTAAGGAAATCCAAAACGGGTCCGTATTGGACTCTTGCTCTTCCATTTCTCTAAGAAAACTAGAAAGTATCATGCCTTCCAGATTGTGTTAGTAAAATGGCAGGTGATTTCGAATTAGATTTCGTGACGGCACGTTTCCTCCCGTTATTAAATTTCTAGCGTGCTCCTTCACGTTTTTGAAAAGTTCCTTCACCATATTTAATATTATTTCGTTCTGGTTTATTTCTCGAAAGTAAAAGTAAGAATAGCTTTATGACGACCGTTGTTTTCTGGTGGTGTCCCCTGAAAAGTGATTCCACATCTTTCTTGTCGTTGAAAAAATATGTCTATATTGTCCATTGTCCATATTTCCGAATGCAGTCCACTGTTCGTTTGTTGGTTTGTTGTCGGAGCTGCTATTCATGGCACGTACGATTGGTAAATGCTTGCAAAAAATAAAATAAAAGCGAAAAAGCCAAAGCCGCCGTTGAAGAGGGGAACCCTCTTAGGCGAGTGACCGAAACCTTTCGCCGCTGCTTTGCTGCTGTTGTCGTTCTGTTGTGGTTGTTGTAGTTCACAGAAAGTTCTGATCGACCTACTTTACAACCGCCGCTCGCTTTTGCATGGCTATTGTTTTCGTTTTGCTTTTTTTATTTTTACGCTGCTTGCTCTCCATCGTCTTCCATCATTAATCGTATACAATTTCGTTTGTTCCTCAGTTTGCAGACAGGTATCATTCAATGATAGGCATTAGCCCCCCTCCTCACCCCCCGTCCCTACATTGCCGACCCTAAATACACAGACACAACTACATATGAATTACCTACGTACAAACATACTTCATTCTATCGCTCTCCGCTTAAGGTTAAGAGTACAAAAATACATAAAACTTTGTGTTTACAACAACATCAGCAGCAGCGATGACCCGATCAAGTCTCTATTTCAGTTCGCATGTGACAAATTGTAATTTTTGTTGCTTTTTGGTTTTGAATTTAAACATATATCGTGTTTTTCTTTATAGGCATGTAGTAATTTGTAAAAAAGAAGAGTGAGAAAAAAACGTGTTTCGATTTATGAAATAGGCAACAATTAGAATTAGCATTGCAGACACCGCCATCGTTGGTTGCTTGGCTTGTGTCCATCCTTGAGGCGTAGCCTTAGCCCTCCTGGCCAAAGTCCTCTGTGAATTTGCGCAGCTTTGTCAGGTCCTCCTCATTGACCGTGGGTTTCGTACGTGACAAGGATTTCAGCATGTCGCGCTATTTAAAATGAAATTGCAATAAATAACCGAACATTCAGTGTGATTTAATTGAGTGGACCTACCATTGTTACAGGCGGTTCGAACAGCTTATCGCTTGGTACATCTACCCAGGACATTTCGATAGCCCCTTCATCGCCTGGCGAGCAAGGCACCAGGAGATCATCTACAATTACCTCTCTGTCCTTTGGACAAGGCCCAGAGACTTTCTGTAATAAGAATAAATATAAATGTCTTAGCATATAGGCGATATAATTGAACTCTACAGAATTTGCAATACAGCTTTGAAGCATGAGATATTTTGGAATATTTATTCAATCGATAATAACATATGCATTGAATGTTATCGATCAACATACGCGTACATATACAGCAGAATGTTTAACATTCGAATTACTTATAAAATTCGCTATACTTAAACGGAGCGAAAGGCGAAAAGCATTAGGGATAAAAGACACTCACAGGAAATAATAACAAATACCCTCCCTTATGCAATCTAATAAACCATTTACAAATATTCCCACAAAACTCACCTTGAAGTGCGTAGCCGTCTGCACTTTACGAACGGGCTCCATAAGCGCATCGCGCACCACAATCGAAATATCTGCGCCTGAGTATCTGTAAGAGAAATGGCATCAGCTTACTGTAGTGAAAAGCACGTGTGATTTGGCTTACCCTTCCGTCTTTTCCGCCAGCACCTTGAGATCCGCCTCAGTTAACACGTGCACTGTGTTGCCCAAGTGAATCTTAAACATGACCAGGCGCGCATGCGCTTCCGGCAACGGAATGTAGATGCGCTTCTCGAAACGTCTGCGAATGGCTGAGTCGAGAACCCAGGGTATGTTGGTGGCGCCTAGCACAAGAATGCCGTCGGTGTCATGACCCACGCCCTGCATCTGCACCAAAAATTCGGTCTTTATGCGACGGACACTATCGTTCTCATTGTCAGAACGCGCAGAACACATCGAATCGATTTCATCAATGAATATAATTGACGGCTTATGCTGGCGTGCCAGCTCAAAAAGATTCTTGACCAGCTTTTCAGATTCACCTAACCATTTGGACATCAGATCAGAGCTGGATACTGAAAAGAATGTCGACCTGTTTGCTTCGGTTGCCACGGCCTTGGCCAAATACGATTTGCCTGTACCGGGTGGTCCGAACAACAGAATGCCTTTCCACGGTATGCGCTTGCCCGTAAAGAGCTGGGGAAATTTAATAGGCAGTATGACGGCTTCTTTCAATGCCTCTTTGGCCGCATCCAGACCAGCTACATCGGACCACTGAACTTGGGGCTTCTCAATAACAATGGCATCTTCAAGCTTGCTCTGCAGTTTCTTTTTCTCCGGATCATCACCGTCCTCATCATCACTGTCGCTCTTTTTGTCCTTGTCATCCTTGGAGCTGGACTCACCACCCTCCTTGACTGGTTTCTTCTTACCCTTCTTTAAATATTCCTTGAGTTTTTCTGCACGATCCAAATACTGCAAGCATTTGGCACGAATTGAATCTTTCGCTTTCTCGCCCTGCGCCTCATCTGTAAATACCAAAGAGAACCTCGATTAATGAACGGGTGCTATTGACGATCAGCAGTGGGCGTAACTCACACTTGATGGTATGCAGAAAATATTCGACGCCATGCTCGTAAAGACGTAACGCCTCTTCGTAATTCTTGTTGCGGTCCTCCTCAGTGGCTTTCGTAACCAAATCGATGGCCTTTTGTAGTGTGGTACCGGCAGCCATGTTGCGTGTTCTGCTAAATATACATATGGAATACGAATGTATTAGAAGAAAATGCCTGGACGCTGCGCGCTTTGCTAATGGACACTAAGCTGACGTCACTTCGGACTATATAGTCCGACATTTATTGATTTTAAATGAATTCACCAAAAGTCCAGCCTTTGAAAGGATGTGTCTCTAGATAATGCGATAACAATTTATATAGTCAAGCACAAACACGAGTCCTTTAGACACACACATAGAGAAAATGGGAATTCGTATGACTAATGCTGCATTGATACAAACAATTGAATGACGAACGCGGCGCGGAGCGACGGTTGACAATAGGTTTATATATCATTATAGCCATTTACTCACGTTTACGTTGGCTTAACAATTGAAATTTCACTTAATATAACTATCGTACTACTGAGGGTTATTTAATAATGATCACTAAACAAAATAAAATCTACTGTTTCGCCAAATTCAATGCGTATGACGGACTTGTTTTTTTTTAGGTGTCAATTACGAGCAGGTGGCAGCTCTGGCAAAACCTTGCCACTTACCTAAATTCAGATACTGACAGCTGATCGGCAAAGCTGCCAGTCAGCTGAAACCACTAAGCAGCTCAATAACAAAATCAGCGGAACAACGTTACCAACTGAAATTATATAAACGTTTAATTAGTTGAGGAACGTTGTATATGCTGCCAAAATGGTTGACTCAGAGGACATTCCGAAATCAAAGCCTGAGGAGCAGTGCTCTCAATTAAATATAAAGGAGAAAGAATTGGACATGTACCGAGACACATTCGTTCGCTATATGGGTAAAGTTTAAAAGTTTTTAAACGTCCCAGGCCGTGACTCACACACTCATGATCTCACCAATGATCATTTACGTCTTCAACAGGCTACAGTAATGAACTTGGCGAGGCTTTTCGGCCTCTAATCTCCAGGTCATTAGTAGGCGCATCATATGGTATTGCTATTGGTTATGTCTGCTTGGATGCTTTCGACAAAAGTTTGCGCCATCAAATATCTGGTGCCAGCAATCGCGATGTGGCGCTCATAGGAGGAGATGTGTTCACCTGGCAAATGTTTGCTTCTGTTATAATACCAGGCCTTGTCATTAATCGGTATGTCTTCAGAAGCTCCTATTATATTAATCTCACACTTAGACATTTTATCTTACAGTGTTACAGCGACGAGTAGATCGCTGCTGAAAAATGCACCCCCATTAGCGCTAAAAACGTTGCCAACTATCCTCGGATTGGTCACAATACCGTTTATAGTGCATCCCATTGATAATTTGGTAGATCAAGTTATGGATGCCACATTCCGTAAAATCCTGCGGTAATCTTATGTGAACCATAGGTCCAGCAATGGCTTTCAAATATGCTTCCAGTAAGGGAAAACTCGCTGCGCTCAGTGCTCTTTAGATTTTTGTATATGACTTAGTTCTTAGTAGACGAAATTTACAAGTATTTTAGGAACATTGTAATCTGTAAAATCTAAGGCCCGTTTCTTCAATGTTTGATCCGACTCCTTCCCGAATTTAAGTAATCGTTATATTTAAGCTTTTATCTCAGACCTAGGTATGAAAAAAATGCTAATAGTAAAATTTCCCATATAAAGCAGCGGTTTCAAAACGATAAATTGTATGGGAAACTTTATTTTGAGACAAGTTTAAGTTATTGAGGTATGGAATAAATGTCGGGCATTGAGGAAATAGCCCTTAAATACGCATAAGAATACTGATAGAACGGCAATTGCTCGCTCTTATGCAATTCTGGTCTAACCGAACACATTTTAGTTGTAAACTACATAAATTTGGTTAAAGCTTTAATATGTACATACAATAAATACGTACATCGATATTAAACAACATACCTTGTTCCTTTAAGGTTTTTTTCCAGAATTTATTAACTCAGTCGGTTTTAACGACATCGGCAACGTCAAAATAGTTGTGGATTATTTTTCATTACATTTTCTAGCTTACACAGCTCGACACATTTCGGAAATTTCATTTTATTTTTCTTTGAATTCCAAATTTAAAAAGTGTTTCCTCGCTGTTTTAACGTAACGCAGCTAAGATGGTCAAAAGAGAGATGTGCTCGCTGAAAATCACCGTCGACCAGTACCTGGAGAATGCGACAAACGGATTCGCAGCACACTGGACCGCATTGCGCAGATTCCTGGATGATCCTACTGTAAGTACTCTGAGCTCGCTCTTTAAGAGAGGAGTCCCAGAAGATGCTTTGCAGGGAGATATCAATTTTTCACTGGGCGAACGGAATGTTAGCCGTGGCTGTGATTGGATGTCGCGCCTAGTGCGTGCGTCCTTTCCCAGGCTAAGCAATGGCGATGCCGACACCGCTACTGCCATGAGCCAGATGATGGCGCAATTGCGCTTCGACGCAGACATTGGTCGCAACATCTACCGTCTGCAAAGGCGCGCCAAAGGGGTGGCCAATAAGTCTTGGCAGCATTATGAACAACTGGTCGGAAATGTGTTCAGTGTCGAGCACAGCATCCGTGACCATGACATAGGGCCTCTGGCCACACTTATATTCCAGAAACTCAAGGTGCACAATACGGATGCCTTCTTGGCCGCTCCAGAACTAGACGAGCGTGAAGTAGATGATGGCTCTGGTGGAGCTTTAGCCTCCAGCGATGCGCTTCTCAAGTGGATCGAGCAGCAACGTCATGCGATGTTGCAAATGGTCCAAGATGGCTTGCTGCATTCACCGGTATTTCTGGACTTGACTTATCGTGGCCGCGGTGCTGGTAATGATCAGCCCGTCATGTTGCTGGACAAATGCATCGATGTGAACAGGTTGGTGCTAGACAGCAGGCGATACTTTGGCATTGATTTCAACCCCTTCATATTTCAGGGAAGGCATCTTCCTCCGAGCCCAGGATAATGACGAAGAGAGGCACGCTAGCGCCAATATAATGGTGCGGGCTGTGCGCACCGCCGCTTCTCTGGAGCTGCCCATCAATATGTCGGCTGTTATGCCCCTCACAGATCCGTCAGCAAGTGGCGATTCCAGTGTCCTGATCTCGCTAAACATCCAATACGAGCCACATTCCCTTTGCGACATTGAATTATTTGGTACTCGACCAACAATGAACTTGATGTTCAATGTACATTTCCCGATTTGGCGTCATTTTAACTTGGAGCGTGATGCACAGAGTGGCCTTTTGGAGCCGATGTATGTTATAATGCCAAATTGTGACCAGATTTCAAAGGAGGATCAACAGCAAGAACAAACTCAATCAATAGGCATAGGAGTAAGATAAACCGGGCTCCGTCCTTCTTCTATGTGTATCGGTGATGTTTTTTTTTTTTTTTTGCAGAGTAACTTGGCCCTTTCGGACTGCAGTAGCTCAGAGTTTTGCGACCTTGTGCATCTCTCCGATTACAAAATTGTACCACATGTGCTCTGGCGCGATCGCAATAGATATCCGTTCTGCACCACCGTGCGATTCTTCCAAGACATGGAACCAATTGGAGCCCACATACAATAATTAGTGTTGCATACTTTGGATTATTTACAGACAAATCTTGTTAGATGAGTGAACGCGATCATATTTTCGCCCTATGTAGTAATCCCCTGTCAATAAAGCACGTATTTTCTGAGCTGTTTTTAATTTATGGCTTTATTTTAATTCTTTTTCTATAATATATATAAATGTATATACAATTTGGTCATTCGCACACACTAACAACCTCTTAAATGATCTCGAGCAGTACAAAAATAATCTGTTTTTCTTTTATCTTTTAATTTACAATTGAAAGTAATATGTATGTATATGTTGATTATGAATATAAGTAGTTTGGGATTTGCTTTGGGTCACTACATCTGGACACAAATATGCTCATACAAGTCTTCGTTTGAAATAAACAATGCACTTTTAATTGTTGCACTGGAATGCAATACGTGCAGACGAATGGCCCATTAATTATACTCGCCTTCATCGTCGCTGTCAATCAGATAGGGGCTATCAAGAGCGCCCAAGCCAGCGGCCACTCCACCTTCGTTCGCTGTGGAGAGCTTGGTGCGCAGCATGTGTCCAGCCTGGTAATTGTGTACAATGTGGTCTGCATCGCCAATAATAACGCCAAAGATGCCCAGTTCCGAAACCATGTCAACAACTGTGGGTGGCATATCGCCACCAGGACGTACCATGTAACCCTTGGACAATGGTGGATGTATAAGGTCCATCAGAATCCAAGCAGAACGCTCCACACGCGACATTTTCTACAAGGCAATGCAAATAGTTTAGTCAAACGATTCAGATTCGGGCCATCGAGAAAAAGGATTAAAAAACAGAACGAAGCTAAAAGGCGTAGAACAGCGCTTCTATTTAAAACTAAATATCATGTGGAATTAAAAACATTTCGTCGGAGCAGAATACTTAGGTAGTGCCAAAATTCGAGGTCTCTTTTACAGGAGGACTCTTGATTGCCATCGCAATCTCTAGAACCTAGCGTATCCGAACTATTATATGCAATCAATACAACTATTGTCAATACAGCTACACACCTCTTATTTGCTTTTATAAGATAGAGTTACAAATATTTTTGATCAACTTTTCCGTCCCACTTCATCATCAAACTAAATAAAAATACGATCCACATTCATTTTTAAAATGATAAAATGTTGAAAAACTATAGAATAAACCATCGCTGTTATAGCAGCTTTTATAAGATAGAGTTACAAATTTCTTTTATACTAAAATCTCCTTCTATATATCTTTGCCGTCCCACTTCATCGTCAAAAAATACGATCCACATCCATTTTCAAAATGATAAAATGTTGAAAACTTTTGTCTACAAATACAAATTCCTGCAAAATCTTGCCTGAGGTCTGCTACTTACCTTCAGAGCTTCGGGTATTTCCAAGCCGTACACATTGTTTCCGCCACCCTCTCGCTGTGGCTTGAGCACGAAACGTTCGGGAGTTTTCAACGCCATTTCATATGTGCTATTCCCCGCATCGTTGTCATCCAAAGAGTACAGACCGGTGAATATCTTGCCCACGGCCTTAATCTCCTCAGGATCGTTTATGAAACGCTCCAACACGGCTGGTTGAGCCAATGCCTGCTGCACTTTCTTTGTGCCAGCCAAATGATACTGTATGGATGGGCATTTGATGGCCAGTGAGCATTCCATCAGATAGCGTGCATCCCATTCGGCCTGTGAATGATAGTGGCCTGGCTCGTACCCGGCACGGAAGTATATGACGGCCACTTCAATGCCATCGCTGCAAAATTGAGCGCATAAGGAGAATCGTGTCGATTAGTATGATTCGAATGGATATGTAAGGACTTCTATACGCACAGAAGGAGCTCCTTGCACTGGCCAAGCTTGCCGAGCTTATGCACATCGGTCAGGGTGCGGCGCACCACCTTAATGTGTGGGTATTGCTCCCGTATGTAGAACTCGTGGAAGCGCTGTAAAGTAGAAAAATGTCATTGGATATTAGGGACATCATTGTTTTTATTTAAATAAACTACAAATATAATACTTGTATTTGTCTAAAATAGATATAGCTTTAACTTCCACAACTCATTCACCTGATCGCAAATGTTGTATGAAATATCCTCGATGATGAAGAGTATTACGGCATCCTTTTTGCCATAGATATCCCAAGCCTTGACCATGCCATCGCACAGGCCAGAGAGTGCATCATTTTTCGGCATCTGTGGTCGAGTTGAAAAGGATTTGAATACACAATATATTGAGATCATAATGCAGGGCCACTCACATTCTTCAGCTTATCGGCGTGTCCTAGTTCACGTAGCACAAAGCTATAGATTGGCAATGGGTTTAGGATTGGCGATAAGAAGGATAACAATAATTAGTTAAACATTTTGTGTAGTGGAGAGATCTCAACAGCAAGAACAAATATTACAGACAACGGTACATTAAAGAATAAAATAGCCAACACAACGAATGGGGAAAATTGTATTAGGAGAGCGCTTCCATTTGGTTTTAGGGTGCAAGGGTGTAGCAGGAAGCTTTGTCAAAGCCAAAACCGCAAGCCACAATCATTAGCGATTGATTAGTTTGTAATGCATTGTGATTAATTGACTAAATGAAGAAAAGCAAGAGAGAACGAAAGCAGAGAGAAAGTAGATATGCATGTATGTACATATGTTCACATTAGAAGAAGAAGGAGAGAGAGAGAGAGAGAGTTAGGAAATTAGAAAGATATAGAGACATACGGAGAAGGAAAGATTTTGCCAACAGTGTGACGTCTTAGCCCATGCAAAAATTCATGCCAACAACAACTATTGAGATGGGTGTAGGAAAAGCAATTTGAGATTTTATTTCGATTTTTTGTTTTTGTTTTTGTCGTTTGTACATATGTATTTATTCTACAAGTGAGTGTACAGCACATAGTGCTGGTATATACATATATGTATGTATATATACATTAATATATGTGTGTGTGGTGCATGGATATGTGAGAAAGTAGACTAAGTTAGTGAGATAGTTTGAGAAAGAGAGAAAGAAGAGCGCGTAATACTTTTGCAGAGGCACCAAGTGTGTAGCAATGCCACCGAAACTGGAGGCAATCGTGTTGATTTCAACCTGTTTTATTGCACAGCCCTCGAACGCGTGAGCCAAATAGTCAGAACGTAAGAGACCAACGCTATAAGCCTGTAATTATGATCATTATACATTATACTATAGATAAACATATGTGTGAGGCGTCCGTTCAGCCAATAACGGAGAAAGGAAGTTTGATTAAAAATTATATAAACTGAAAACATATCAACGAGAGATGATGAGCGTTTCTTCTCTGGCGTCGAAAAGTGTATTGGTGGTAGGCGTAAGAGAGCGATAGCGATCGCAGAGTTGCATTATGTGTTATGGCAGCAGTGTGATTGTTTGGTTGGTTGGTTGGTTTGTTGGTTTGTTGGTTGATTAATTGATTGATGAGGCGTTCTTTTTTCCCCGCAGCCAGCCAATTTAAAGCGATATATGCCATTGAAGAGATATGCGCACGATACACCTTCTCTTGAGTTAGAACCATGATCCTAAATGGAAATGCTGGGGCTCATTATGAATAGGAATGTGCAACGATATAGCTTGTGGCTATAGGTATATAATTAGTACAGTATATGAATTCATATTTATACTTATTTTCTACCCAAGCTTCTTATTCTATATGAGCCAGATGGATCGAACAGAGTTTAAGATAACCTAACGATACCCAAAACTTCTTATGTCCAGACATAAACTATTTTTCCTGCATAAATTCACTCACGCACTTCTTCTTTCTCATCTCAGGTCTCAAATCGAAAATAGGCATCCTAGGGCTCCCGATACGCTAAGCAATTTAGTAAGCGCAGAAAGGACTATGGAAGTGTGGATAAAAATTTCTATTCCTCAGATAAGATAGTCTTAGAACTCATCTTTATTGATTCATTCAACATTTTCTTGACAGTCAGTTGTTTATTAGTTTTGTTTAAATAACTTTAAATATACATACGTATACTTGTATGCCTCAGATATTTAAGCGCATCAGCGATAATTCTAAGCCGTATAATGTTTACGTCAATGGAATGCTGTTTATTTATAGCGGCAGATGTTTGAACTACTGCCAGGTTACAATGGCTTCGAGTTCGGTATAAATAGCTGGGTTTCTGCTTACTTTCATAAAACTGGATGAAATGTGAAACATTGCGCATGAGTAAACAAGCCGATCTGTTCGTATGGATGTAGAATAGTCAGCGAGTGAAATTTGGCTTTCCTTTGTCCGAAATTCTATGATTCAGACTAATGACTGACAGAAACTTTTCAGCAATTTCAACATAATTTGTAATATTTATTTTAGTTATAAATAGCTGGTAACGATGACAACTGCAAAGTGGAACCAACATACATATGTATGTTAATTGGATCTCTTATCTGATGTACTGTACTGATAAAACCGCTGAAGTTTGCGGACGAACCCGAATCCATCAGCTTATTAGTAGAGAAGGAAGTATAACAATTATGTGATTCTACTTGGATCGTTTCTAGGCCTATCTATTTATCTATCACATATAAAAACGTCACACAACTCAAGAAGTAACATAAAACAAGAAGAAAAGGCAAATACGAATATTTAAAGCGAACATGAACTAGGACTTTTACAAAGCATTGGCAAAAAATTAGTCAGGCATTTAGACAGAGACGCAAAAAGTCGTGCGGGCGGGCAGGCATTGGAACTTGAAAAAAAGCACAAGCAGCGCAAACTACGAGACGCACACAGCAGCAAATTATTAATATTTTCACTGTAGCATAAATAAGTAACAAAATAATTACACATATGTATAATATGTATGTACGAGTATTATAGTTGAATATGTACATTATAATTTGGCAAGCTATGGTCCACTCAATAGCTGTACAAAGGGGGGAGGGACGGGGGCTTACGGAGGTGAAATGATCTGCTTGCTGTGTCGGCAGCATGCCATTATTCATTCTTTAGAAATCTGAATCGATTTCAGTTTTAAATATACAACATAAACATTAATACACTACGCGGCATATGTAAGTATTATTTAAATGAGTTGGCGTTTTATTTGTAAATGACGAGACAAAAATTCTTTATTCTGATTCTAAATTTAAGCTGTTTTGTCCATTTTATGAAGTGAATAAATAATAAGAAAATTGACTCAATACATTTTAGAAAACATTAAACATATTTCCGATCAAAAAGATCGCTCTTTTTTAGAATGTTTGGTAATGTTAAAACAAAGAGTTCAAACACGATTTTGAATTGACTTTTCCAATATGTCAAAAAGTATCTGTATATCCGTACATGAACTTCATTTACAGATTATTTAATGGGTTAATATGAATTATGGGCGATTGGTTAGATTTTTTATTAAGCATATTATAAATCTTACGCAATGAAAAGCAATTCGACGGATTTTCATAGTTATGAGTCAAATGGTAGTTGAGTTATGATCCTTCGGTACATATGCCGCTTAGTGTACATGCTTGGCTCAAATGAATAGTTCAAGAAATATGGGTAGTGTTGGGAGAACTAGAAATAAAGTTAACGAAACAAAGGACGAAAGGGACATTTTCCGACAGAGTTGCAAACCGACTGTTGCATTTGTTCTCCATTCGAATAGATTTGCAACCTTATTGTAATTCTGGTTTCGGTTATGTGAATGCATGTGTGGATAAATGTGTCTGTTTGATTTGATTATTTGATAGTTAGGGGGATAATGTACAGGCAACTAATATGGGCACTGAGTTGAATGTGTGTTTGGGTGGGTGGAAGGATGTGTAGGCGACAGCGAAAGAGACAGCACCTTTGTATCGTTTTACTTGCTGGTCCCAAATGGCCAAAACCCGATGCTATCGTATTGATCTCAACTTGTTTCCAACAACAATAGGCCGCTCCAGATTTTTTAGTCGCCGTTGAGGTTGCCTTGCTGGCTGCCTTTGCCGTTGTTGGCGTCTTCACCGTATTTTGATAGATTTTCGGCAGATTGGTGTTGACATTGCTGCCTTTGGCCTCATCTTCGTCGTCGCCGCCCCCGCCCGCAGTGGCAGCGGTAGAAACGCCTTTGCCCTCATCCATCGCCTCTCCGTCGCACGCATGCTTTGGTAAGAGTTCAGGACATCCAGACTCCAGCATCAAATCGCTACGCAACATCCCCAATGAAGTGCGCTTTTTGTTGATTTTCAATTTTTTTTTTTAATGTTTTTGTTGTTGTTTTTTTTTTTTTTAAATGCGATTCGAGTTTTTCAAGTTACAAGTGATAGTTGGGTGTCGGTTTTTTTGAATTTTTGTTGTTGTTGCAATTATGCATTTTATGGTTAATTTCATTTGTTTTTTGATTGAAACGAGGAAAGCAGAAATTTTCAAATAAGTCAGTGCGTAATTTCTTGCTAAAACTTAAGCTTAGAAAAAAAAAACAGCACAACCCATACAGTGAAAAAAATGATGAAATAATAAGTAACAAAGACATTCAACACAAATTGGCTACAAACAAGGGCGAAATACTTAGTAAATGCTCATAATAATGCCAGAGATAAAATGAAATAGAAAATTGTTGTAGCCCAATGGAGCAGCTGCTGCCTGTCCTAAATATACAAACCAAAAACGAATTGCCAAAACAATCTTACAAGCAACAACAACAATGGAAAATAAATATAGAAACAGCCCACCAAGTTACTTAAGCAAAAAAATCATGTTCAGGTTAAATGCAAGCAGCGCATAAATCATAATGAGATTAGCTGCATAGTTAATATATAGAAATAAAAACGCAGCCGAAATGCCTGTATTGTTACTACGGGATGGCTATGGTTATGGCTATAGCTGTAGCTAAATGGTGCTGCCGATTTTATGGATGACGATGACTGGCGATAAGATTACAACTAAATGCTAAGTTCTCCCCCAGCTGCTTCTACAAATTCACTAGAGAACAACAACAACAATAATAATAACAAAAGCAACAAAAATATAAACCTAATTGCTGCAGTCACCCCACCCTAACCATCTAAAGACCCTTTAGTAGCGCATAAATAATTGAGACGAGTCTCGCTTTGAAACTTAACAGGCCGCCATAAACTGCAACGTAATGTGGTTTTGGATGTACAGATGGATGGATGGATGGATGGATGGACAGATGGATGGGTGATTGGTTGTTAGGTTGTTTGTTTGACTGCTTGAGCATATCGCAAGGTCTTTTCTGGCAGTGGCTTGTGTGTGGTATGGCATGGTATGGCTGTGATGCTGACAACTGGTGTAGGTGTGGTGGACGTAACGAACGAACACGAGTATCTTACCTGAGTGAAGCCGTTGGCCAACACTTTCTTGTAGATGTTAAATAAGTCGGCTGTGAATTCATCCACTTTTACTGTCTCTGCCAGTGTGGTTGTAATGAACTCTTCATCGTGGGCGACATTATGCATCAGACGATTGATGATGGGTTGTAGGGCAATGGCCTTTTCGAATTCCTTGCGCGGAAAGGACGAAGGCACCAGCACAAAGGGTGCAAACTGTGTTGACGATGATTATGACAATGATGAGGATTCAAGATGGTTGCTGCTTCATGATTCCTCACTCACATTTAAAGCATCCGCACTGTAATTGGTCTTTGAGCGCATCGCGGCGCCATGCATAATGGCATAGTCCTTGGCCTTGGCAGTGACCTCGAGCAGTTCGTCCTGCCGCAACGGTAAATCAATGCATGCCCGCAAGGTCGGTGTATTGGCCTCGTCACACATTGTAATTCTAGCGTATCCTTTTTTCTTCTACAGGAGTATTGACTGTTTCAATTTCCAATCTCCTGTTGCTATTGCGCGATCAAATACCGACACTAAGAGGGCCACAGGCAAATCGTAACTTGCTGAACTCGTGTCTGCAAAATTATTTACTTACACTTGCTTCGCACTTCGCCAATGCCTACCGAGAACTAAACTCACTTACACTTGCCAGTCACTATTAATAGTTATTATTATTTATCAGCTGTTGTGACTTTCGCTGCTGCTTTCTGCTTCGTTGTTGCTTTTGTGACAACTGCGCCCCTTTTGTTTTTGATATTACAACCACACACAAACACTCATGTAATTTAGAACTGCCCTACAGCAGCTGCACTTGCACACTTCCAAAATATATATTTACAAATTTATTTACAGTGAAGAAAACAAAAATTTCAATCGAAGTTACAAAAAATAACCAAAACGATTGCCAGAAGTGTGCGCACTAGAGATGTGCGCCAGCTACGAAGACTAAACCTATCGGAATGCGCCGGCACCGGCGACTGCCACCTGTTTCACAGCTATCGATATCGACTACTGCAGTGGCTTGGGCGTTACGTGGCTGTTAATATATTTATAGGAAAGAATTATAATTTCATTAACATCCTCTGTTATAGTACAGTTCGACCGAGGTGGCAACATAAGCTGCACTTTACTAAACGAAAGGGAAAATCAGGACCTTTAAACATACATAAGTACACATACACTTTGTTAGCTTCTTGTAATTTCACATTAGAGGCGACAGGTCGAAAACAATCCGAAATGGTCGAACCGTTATATGAATTTTATTTATGTAAAGTAAAAAGCCAAGCATCTAGGGCCAAAATGCGCGTATTACAAACAAGAATTTAAGAAATTTCCAGGATTTAGAAATTATTTTCTTTATTTTTAAGATGAGAATAGGTGTTTATTCTTTAAACAACACAAATTCAAACAGTTTTAGTTTTGTGGTCCAACCGCTGCCACCATTCAATATTGGTGTGTACTAGGCTTCCAACCTACCAATTGTAGTTTCGCCTATTAGTGGTACATCTTCAAAAAGAAACTGTGGTATATAATTGACAATATTGATTCGGTTTAACGCCAGACCTTGCTGTAGTATCCACGAGAGCAAGGCTGTAATTTCCCCATTCAAAAATAAGGAAATACTCTTTAGGTGATCAATAAATAAAAAGCTACGCTTTTATTCAGTCTTGTACATATATAGGATAGTTTCAGCATTCCGGCAACTTGGCATATCGAGTATAAGGGCAATTAGCAGTTGTAGTAGATGTTGTAAGACCTGTAACGAAAAAGAACAGAATGTCCCCTAACGCAGTCCAAGGGTCAAAAGGTGGTTCAACTGTACCCGGCCTTGGCTCAACGAAGTGATAATATAACAGTCATTGTTAAGTTGCAAGTCTTTTCTTGACGCCAGAATGAATTAACCTTGGAGCCAATGCAGGCTCCCAAACCGGTAATTCCAATAGACAAGATAGGCATTGAAAGTATGTTGGACCTATCAAAAGGTCCCAACAAGTTCGGTTTTTTTTTTACTGAAAAGTCACAGACTATTGTCAAGGACTATTGATCTGGAAATACTCTCGCTCACAGAGAATTGTGGGGGATCTTCGGTTGAAGATAACGAGCGTTGTATGCGCTGGTCGAAGCGCCTTTTTGAGCCAGATGTGTGTCTGTTTTAGTGTTTTGCGTTCTCTAACGGTCGGCAATGTGTCTGAAAGACAAAGATTGTTAAGTTTTGAATTAAAAATAGAATTGGAGTTTCTTAGATCCGAGCACTGGGTTCGGATTTGCAATTAACTGCTTGCTGGCCTCACTGGCTGGCTGGCTGGCGTGTTGTTGCTTTTTGGGTCCATCTCAGAAGCGACCCGTAGTCTATATACATATATATGGATGGTGGACTCTAGAGCTTTTTTTATGGAGGATTAGCTCGAATCCAGTTTTTAAATTTCAAGTAAAATCTTTTAACACTGTGCTCTACTGTGCAGTTCCAAAAATGTTCTCATTTTTTGGTTGCATTTGCATAATTTCTTTGACTTTTTGGGAACATCTTACAGAAGCTCCTGAAAGGTTCAACACACGTTTTAATAGGGGGAACTTTGTATAGGGGAAACTGGGTAGCACACACATACACACAAATCACTTGTATTCATTTTGTATCGTTGGCTTTTTGCTTGTTCGTTGGTAGGTGTAGGGGAAAACGTCTCTATTGATTTAAAGGCTTGCACGTCAGTCTTTTTTTTCAAATAAAGTTCACACATTATGCGCATTTTATATTTTTTTCTTTTTGTATTTTTTTCTTTGTGGTTTAAATTAGGAATTAGATGCTTGCTAAATTTGCTTAACTCGTAAGTTTATTATTAAATCATATAACTCTTTTTTTTGCAGCTGCGTATTTAAGAGACGATGACGTATCGACGTCCGTTGTAAAAAACGGAAGTTTATATTATAGGGGAGGGGTGGAGCAAAAAGCGAGTTCTGTTGTTATTTTAGTCATATTGGAGTGAATTTTTTACGTTTAGAACTAAGGATTACGCTATGCATAGGTAAAATATTTATAATGCCCTTTCTTGCTTCCAAACGGTCGCTCTATTTCGCTCTCTCGCTCGCTCTTTCCTCGCTCTCTCTCTTTCTATCACTAAGATTAAAATTTTCGTTTTCATAGGATTTTCTTAAATTTTGTTGTAAATTGCGCCAAGGGTTACGCCTCTCAGGGGGCGATAGCAATACACTTTGCCTTTATACATTCACACGCGCGTTTTGCACACACTATAATGGATGGGGGCGGGCGGGCGATGGGATCAGAATCCGCACTTTGATTTTTGTGTCTTTTCGTATTTAAAGCGAAGCACTCAAACGTACGACGGGACAACGAAGACGAAGACGGAGACGAAGACGGAGCTGGTGGCGATGCACGCTCCTAGCGCCTGCCATCCCGATAGCTGCGCTGGCCACCACGTTCGCCACCGCGTCCGTTGCTTCCAAAGTGCCGCGAGTCGCGCGATGAGCCGCCAGCGCCACTGCGGTTATAATCGCGTCGACGGGCGCCCGCGGAGCCGTTGTTGTCACGATTGCGATATCCACCTGGACCGCCCATTCCACCGCCACTACCGACGACTCCAGCTAATCCAGCTCCAGATGCTGCACTGGCAACCGCGCTGCCGCCACTGCCGTTGCTACCACCAACGCCGCCATTGGCAACACTGCCACCTCCTGCGCCTCCTCCGTAGACGGGAAAGCCTGGCGGTGGTGGCACTGTGGGTAAGCCAGCATTCTTCCAGGCTGCGAAGTCCTCATAGCTGGGTGTCTTATCAAAGCCAGGTGGTGGTGGACGCAGTGGCTGCGGCGGCGGATAGTCCGGCAATGGCGGTGGCCCGGGCCCATCGTAGTAACGCACCGGCGGCGGCAGTTGTTCGTAGATAGAGGCCGGCGTGCCCGGTGGCAAAGCACCCCCAGCTCCTGCCGCTCCCGGCAACGGCAGCTGGGCAAAGGGCGGCACAAAGGGTAGCGGCGGTAGTTGGCCGTGCATTGTTCGCATGTAGTCCGCTACATATGCTTCGGCAGCCGCTGCCGAAGATGACATATAGCGCTCCCACGACGGCATGCCCATGTCCGCGCCACCAACTGAACTGCCGCCCATGGCTCGATAGGGTGAGCCACTCCGCTTAAAATTACCACCACCAGGTGGTAAACCCATCCCATGATGATGATGATGTCGATAAGGTCGATGATGAGGTGTTCCGTGGCCATAGCTGCGCTTATGACGCATGGGACCCAAGTGGCTGGCGCCTCGACCACCATATCCTCGCGATGAGAGACTGCGCGGTGGTTTGTAGATAACATGGATGCCCTTCTCTCGCATCACGCGTGCTGTCTCTTTAGATTTGCGCAATATGGGCGTCAGCTCTATTTGCTCGTCCTCAGGAAAGAGGCGACACAGTTCAGCCCCAATTTTGGGCTCAATCTCTTGACCATCGCGTCCAATTTTCACCGGCTTGCCTTCATTCCAGGAATTGTGCAGATGCAAAGTGGCATTAAAGGATAGCTCCTTACGGCATATCCAGTCTAGCTCAATAACACCGCCCAATGCCTTGGATGATATGCTCGGGGGGAGCACCCAAGCTACCTGAGGAATATCCCGACGAGAAGGCGCAGCCATTCGCGCAAATCCAGCAAATTTACCTGCATGGGAGAAACGTGGATCAAACCAATTAGAGAAGATTTAAGTACACTGAAAAAAATCTTCCAAATCTACAATAAACACAAATTATTGTGCATATATTGAGAATAACTATAAAAATGTATTACAATCAAACCAATCTGTTAAGAGTTGTTAATTAAACTAGAATCTTGCGCACCCAACTCTTTCATATAGTTACATATGTAACTAATAAATATAACTAAGATTACTATATGTTGATAAGCAAACCAGTTACCCCACAAAATATCGATCGTTTCTATGGAATCTATATAAAAAAAATAAGGCTATGTACGGCTTATAACAAAATTCATCTGCGTATGGATAGCAGAAGTTCACATGCCAAGCCTGGAGTCCCTAACTGTGTTGTGATAAGTTTTTTGACGTTCATTTGGAGGGACATAGCTATATCGATCTGTATTGTAATACGGATCATATTAGTTTAAGTTCAGGTACATGTACGAGTACCTGGCGGCTCCAACATCAGTAATAAATTGTAAGTAGAGTACTTAAGAGACTGCTTCCATCTACATGTTTAAAGTTTCCATAACCAACGGATACCAAACCAGCATTTACTTACCGCTCTCGTTAACAGAGAAAATAAGCAGTACATTGCGTGCCTCCTTGAAGGCCTGATTAAGATTCGCATCGTTCTGTGGAAGCGTTGCCCAGACGCTCTTGTTCTTGGATAGCTGAACATTGTCACTATTGTTTGACTTAATCAAAAAGAAACGTGTATCTCGGAACAAATAGTTCAACTTCGTGTTATAATCGTAAGCCTTTTGCGAGGATCCTGTGTTACTGACACCAGCGCCTGCATTTTTTTCGGGCGTAGATCCTTTGGAAGAGTTCGGTAGCTTGCCGCGTGTTCCATTGCGTTTGTGTTGCGTGCCCGAATCTGAATCCGAAGATTCAGAATCCGACTCCAGTGCTGGCAGTGTGGGCTTATCATCTTCTGCATCGCTAATATCGCTTTTGTTCGTGCAGCCTGCAGTGCCTGCACTTGTGACAGATTCGTTCGTTTGTGTTGCATTGGCCAAAGAGACGGTGCTTCCAGCATTTTTCTTACTACGCGATTTCTTGGTTCCGCTACTCTCGCGCTCCTCATCGCCAGCAGTCGCATTAGTGATTGCCTTGTCCGCTAGCTCCGAGCAATTAGCAGCTCTTTTCGACTTAGCTTCAGCGCTATTGCGTTTCTTCTTTTTGCCATTAACTTCCGCTGTGGGAGAGACAGTACGTTTGCTTTTCTTGGACACCTTTCCACTCTTGGCTTTCGTTGTTGCAGCTGCGGATGCTGCTGCTGCTGCAGCCGCGGCCGCTGCAGCGGCAGCTGTGGCAGCTACAGCTGTCTTTTTTGTGCTCGACTTGGTCTTGCGTTTATTGCCGCCATTAGCACTACCCGCTATCGATGATATCGCTGTACTTACGGAGCTTATGCTTGGCCGAGAGTCTGAAGACTCGCTACCCGATTCGGAAGCTTCGCTACGCGTGTCAAATGAGTCGTCGAAATCTTGAAGCTCCTCGGCTATGTCTGCCTCGTTCTCGTCCAAGCCCAGATGCACTGCGTCCAGGTCGGCCATGTCACGCATAGGTAGGGCTTGTGCTACTTTGTCTATCGGTATACTTCACCTGTTAAATAGGTGATTGTTTACTATTGCAGTTGTTTCCGTTTCTGCGCTCGTTTCTACAGCGTAGTTGTATTCTTTTTATTGTAGTAGTAGTAGTAGTACTACTACGCACTGCTTAGCGGCTTCTGCTTTTGCCCGTTTATCCGTTCATTCATTCCTGCACGAATGAGATAGGCAAATTGTTGAGACAGCAAACAGCACAAAAAAAAAAGACGTAAAGAAGAAAAACGCCGATTGATTTAGCCAAGTGATGCAGAGAATTGCTGCAAAATGCACTTAAAATACCACTCACTCGTTGCAATTCACATGAACCAGGTTGCCGCTGCACTAAAAACAACTTTAGAGCAATTTTCGTAAACTTTAAACTTTTAAATTCAATAATTTTCAGTTTTTTCCGCTGCTGCATACAAATTCTGCAATGACGGCACAATGGCGTCAGAAGAGTGCGGCTATAATAGTAATACAAATATACCTGTTACTTTGTCACGGCTATTGTGAGTAACGAGTCACATGAGAATATAGGGCCCTTATTGTATTCGATAGCAACTGTACGTACGCACCTCAGCTTTTTTTATGCTAAACAAGAAGTACATAAACAAGAAGTACATTGCTACACAAATATGAAATATTAATGTATCAAAAAAGAACACCCACATCAAGACTGCGTATCGAATAGGCATTAAATTACGTTATCGATGTTTTAACACTCATTCAAATATCGATAATAAATACAATTTAAATTAAATTCGGTGTTATATTTTCCGCGACTACATTTACTGATTTAACATTTTACTTTTTCATATTCAACTCGATAGTGCATTGAAAATATGTATACAGGATCTCCCTTCCAAATAAAATCATTCCGATTGAAAAAAATATATTTATTCCTATTTGTAAAAAGATGGCGTATAAAATAGTTAATAAAGTATACATTTACGATTATTTTGAACTTTACATTTTAGGTACTAGCTTAAACATTTCCATTAGGTCACCGGGATTCATAAACAAAAAAGGAATGCTAGACTCGAGCGAACCCGACTGCTAAAATTTCTGTACTCACACTTCTCAAATTACAAGTTCATACATTTTTTGTATATCCTGTACCCAAAGTGTATAAATGTATACTTGTTAGTTAGAATGTAAGTAGCACACATATGGAAGCGGAGAGGACCCCACAAATTATATAAATTCTTGATCAGGATGTCAAGATGACTCAATAAAGCCATGTCTCTCTGTATGAAAGAAAGGACCTCAGAAAGTACGTGGAAACTTGGTATCCAGGTTCGCCCCGGCTAAGGTAGAAATGGTTTTTTTGTTGCATTGTGGGGTCTTCCACACATTCCTCTGTGAGTAAGATACATTAGCACTTAAGAGTATACACTTTCACCTTTTAGATGCAGGATATAAAAAAGGGCAGTTTAATTCTTTTGAAATTTGTACGGGCTCCTAATTTACATACATACATGTATGCGTGTGTGTATGGCAGAAATTTAGATGATTTACAAGTAAAAATGAGGGCATGAATCTCTACAAAATACGAGTGCATTGTTATTAATTTATAAAAGTGAGTTCGAATCTTTCCACGTAAAATTCTTTATCTTCGACGTTGCGTCCTCTGGGACCTTGCCGGTGTCGCAACTGGGGTATTATCTTCGCTCTCACCAGATGTTGGATTTTTATTTCTGCCACGCTGCTTTGCTGCTGCCTGTTTGCTTGTCATCGGCTGGTCGTCATCATCGGAGCTGCTGGTATTTCCGGGTCTTTCATCCGATTCGGAGGTACTGTCGTTCCGTCTGCGTGTAGAGTTGGGGCCTTTGGCTGTACTCTTACCACGCTGACGCTGAAGAGAACTCTTGCCGAACTTGAGTTTGGTACCATTCTTTCTTGATACTTCCGCTCCGTCCGGTTTTTGTGAGTTGGGTTCAAGGCACTCATTGAGTCGCGCCTCGAATTCCGTGACTGTAGCCTTCAATTCAGGTTTAGCCAATTTGGAGGTGTTTGAAATAATCAGCTTGAAAGCTTGATAGACCTCGTCCACCTGGACCTTGTCTTTGAAATGCTGCACATTGTCAATTAGCTTTTTCATGGAGCGTTCGTTGTAGGAGAGCAAACTGAGGCAGTAGGAGATATCACGCCATTGGCGTTCCTCTCTAGATACCGGGAATCGTATGCACAATTTTTCCACGAGCGTCTCAATTTGCCGATCCTTCTGTATGAGCCCCAGTATGTACTTCATGATGATTCGATATT